TAACACATTTTCTTTCAAGAACTTAACAACTACTTTGTTATCATTGGTACGGCAAGGTATAGCCTCAACCCATTTAGACACATAATCAACAGCAAGAAGAATATAAAGGTAACCAAAAGAAGATGGAAATGGTCCCATGAAATCAATACCCCAACAATCAAAAATCTCAATGACTAGAATTGGGTTAAGAGGCATCATGTGACGACGAGTTAATGCACCTAACTTTTGACACCTATCACAGGAACGACAAAAAGAATTAGTATCCTTAAACAAAGTATGCCAATAGAATCCACATTGCAAGATTTTTGCAGCAGTTTTCTTCATCGAAAAATGGCCACCACAAGCTTCAGAGTGACAAAAGTTAAGGACACTATTAATCTCATATTCAGGAATACACCATCTCATGATCTGGTCAGGGCAATACTTAAACAAATAAGGATCATCCCAATAAAAATTTCTTACCTCAACCAAGAACTTACGCTTATCTTGTGCATTCCAATCCAATGGAATTTCACTAGAAACCAAGTAGTTAACAATGTGAGCATACCATGGAACTTGGCTAACAGCGAGCAAGTGTTCATCAGGGAAGTCATCTCGAATTGGTGAACTTTCAATATTGGAGTCATTAAACTCCAATCGAGACAAATGATCAGCCACCACATTTTCAACACCCTTCTTGTCTTTAATTGTAAGATCAAATTCCTGCAAAAGTAAAATCCACCTAATCAAACGAGCTTTAGCATCCTTCTTAGATAGAAGGTACTTAAGAGCTGCATGGTCAGTAAACACAGTAATAGGTGAACCAATGAGATAAGAACGGAATTTATCTAACGCAAAAACAACAGCTAGTAACTCTTTTTCAGTAACTCTTTTTCAGTTGTAGAATAATTCCTCTGAGCACTATTAAGAGTTCTACTAGCATAATATACAACAAATGGCTTCCCTTCCCTTCTTTGGCCTAAAACTGCTCCTATAGCATGGTTACTAGCATCACACATAATTTCAAATGGAAGACTCCAATCTGGTGATTGTATGATCGGTACGGTAGTTAATTTGGTGACAAGAGTTCGAAAAGCTTCTTCACATTTAGGAGTCCAATTAAACTCAACATCTTTGGTTGGGAGGTTACACAAAGGTTGAGCTATGGCTGAAAAATTTTTAATGAACCTCCTATAAAAACCAGCATGTCCAAGAAAAGACCAAACATCTTTTACTGTTTTGGGTGTAGGTAATTTAGAGATCAACTCGATTTTTGCCCTGTCAACCTCTATTCCTCTTTCAGACACAATATGTCCCAAAACAATACCTGACGACACCATGAAATGACATTTTTCCCAATTAAGCACAAGTCCTTTTTCCTCACACCTAATTAAAACAGTTTTCAAATTAAATAGGCATGAATCAAAACAATCACCAAAAACAGTCAAGTCATCCATAAAAACTTCCATTATTTCCTCAACCAATTCAGAAAATATGCTAAGCACACAACGTTGAAAAGTGGCTGGACCATTACATAAACCAAATGGCATTCTACGAAAAGCATAAGTACCAAAAGGACATGTAAAAGTAGTCTTTTCCTGATCTTCTAAAGTTATCTCAATTTGATAATAACCTGAATAATCATCAAGAAAGCAATAGAAAGGATGGCTAGCAACACGTTCTAAAATTTGGTCAATAAAAGGCAACGGAAAATGGTCCTTCCTAGTGGTTGCATTTAATTTCCTATAATCAATGCACATGCGCCACCCAGTTACTGCCCTAGTTGGTACAAGAACTCCCTC